TGCTAACAAAAAGGACCACCTCCGTTTTCCTCATACAGTTGTTTTGTCATCTTAAAGACTACAATCGTTTATTTAATGCAGAGAGAGAACAATAGAATTTCATGGGGACCAGTAATTATTTAAAATAAATACAGATCACGATTATAAAGCATAAAACGCGTCAGAGTAATGTTATTAACATCACAAACATTACTGTGTGTTCTACGAAAATAATTTTAACTTGCGCTGATAAACTGTCAAAATTTGTTAAGTTAAGGGGTAAAACTGACTGAAACTGAAACAGTCAAAATTTAATATGGAATGTTCAATTGAAACCTGGCACTAGTCCACGAAAAATTATCGGTTTTTACACAAGCGGCCCAAGCTCTCTTTGAGAACCACACAAGGAACATAATTTGCATATTTATCAGGATTTTTATGGGATTTTCTACAAGATATCCACAGAGATAGTTAAAAGTGAAAATATTAAATAAAAATGGCTTACCTTGTTCCACACGTTTGTTGTTTGCTCCTGGTGTCGTTATTTTAACGATTTCACTTGATTTAAGCGATTTTTTTTTAATCCTGGTTTTCTACCAAGTTTTCTCTCTTGGTCTTCTCTTCACGTGGTAGAAAACCACGATTAAAAAAAAACCGCTTAAATCAAGTGAAATCGTTAAAATAACGACACCAGGAACAAACAACACACGTGTGGAACAAGGTAAACCATTTTTATTTAATATTTTCACTTTTAACTATCTCTGTGGATATCTTGTAGAAAATCCCATACAAATCCTTATAAATATGCAAATTATGTTCGTTGTGTGGTTCTGAAAGAGAGCTTGAGCCGCCTGTGTTTTTTACAATTAAATGACGCACTGATCCATTTGCAAGTCAGCTACTGTCAAATGTCACGGTATCTCAGTTGACAGCTGACAGAACTCAAGCAATTGCACCCATCATTTACAATGAGAAGCCTGCTCAAACTTTGACATGAAACAGACCTTGGATATTCAATCAAAAATGAATAATACAATTGTTATTTAAAAAAATAATACATCTATGTCTTTTCCCCCCTTTTTTGTTGATATAAAAGACCTAGGGGATATTCACTGGCAGTGAATCAGATCAAGTGTCGACGAATTTAAAAAATTTTGCTGATTCTGATTAGTGGAATTTTCATGAGGCGATATTTAGTCTTTGGGGCCACGTGTATTTGTTTTCAAAAGCTTGTTGAAACGCCATACTATCACCATAACCTTTGTTCCTAGTTTTGAAATTTCAAATAAAGTTTCCTTGATATTCCGAATGGTATCCCCTTCTTTTGATGATATGTCGTGGCAAATTCTCGTCTCCTAGTACATCTAGATGAAATCGGCCCGATTTAAAAATAAAGAGAAAAATTAAAACGAAACAAAAAATCATCGCTTTTTCTGAGAAAGAAATTTAAAAAATGCACAAAGCAACAAAGAAAGCCGAGTTCTTAGTTAAAAAAAAGGTTGCCCAAAGGTTAAAGTAGCTTCAGACTGACAAAGTCACCCAAACATGACAAATATTTCAAGCGCTTGTGACGGCTTTCCCCAAGCCTATCATACCTACCGTAGCACTCATTTAGCGAGCATGTCCTTGGCTGCTTTTGAATTCCGTAAGCACCCGCCCCAGGGCAGCGCGTTCGATCGCGTGTCGTGCAGAATCTCTGACGAACCTTCTGACATTTGTCATTACAAGGACCAAACTTTGTCCAAGAACTCCAAGTCTGGGAACTTTGACCTATTCGAGTTTTCAAAACAAATAAATATATGATCAAATTGAGTGTTTAATTAACAAAATAACAGAGGGGTGATATTAAGCAATCGGAAAGCGCTCTAAAGCAAAACTAATGCAATCCTGGGTTACCAAAGACACTCAACGAAAAACCGCTCAAAAACAGTACTTACTTTTACAGTCGTACAGTGCATTCAACTGCAGTATGTCCGTTTCACTAAAACCTTTTCTTTGACCGAGTTGCGATCCGGAATGTTTGATGGCTTTTAAAGTACGTTTTCCATTTTTGGAGAATGCGCGACTCCCATAATGCATCAGGCTCTGGAAGTCGTACATAGCACCCAGGGAGTCCAGCTTGCCATGTGGGTACTTGTTAAAATTATGAGCCTGACCTGTGATGAAAGGTGAAACACTCACCTACCATATTCGCGATCCATAGTAAATGAGCTAAAATAACATTATGCTGTTGCATGTTGGTCAGTCAAAACTCAAGAACCGCAGAATAAAGAGATCAGTTTCAACCAAGACAAGTCTGAAACAATTGTCACGAGCAAGAGACAAAGATAATCCGAGTCCTTTCCCTTCTCCCCCGGGAACATTCGAACTCTAACCTATCGCGGTCGAATGCAAAACTAGATGAGCCTCAGAACAACACAATGGTCAAACGCGACGCATGCCCAAATTGGTAAATCTCGGCTAATTGCGTGTCAATTTTCCGCGCAAGATTTTACAAGAGAATTATGAGAAAAAATTACGATAGTAAGTTGAGATTTTCAAAAATAAAAAAATTATGTAGAGGAAAGGATAACTCATCGATGCGGATTCCCTTTTTATTAACTAGTTTGTTGAGCATTAGCAAAAAGATTGTAAAAGTCTGTTTATGGGCCAAGTTGGCCATCAGGTCGGCGCTTGACTACGGTTTCCGTAACATGAAGCGACTAGGATTATTTCTACTCCCCACTGGATGGTTAGCTAGTCCATCACAGGGTCACAGGGTCACAAGTGTTTCGCCTGAGAACACAACACAATGTACCCGGCCAGGGAAAAGACTGTACCATTTATAAAAAGAAAACCGCCATAACTCATTAGTCAATGTGGTTGTTTAGAATAAAGCGCCATGACAGGCCACATCTTAAGACAGTTATTCGTTGCTGCGCTCCTGCAGACGTTTGAGCGCTGGGAACTAGCTGGCGAGCCAGGATATATATTTAGTTCAAATGTGATATGTTTCATACCACCCTACCTTCGGCAACATTCTCCCACAATATCTCCACATACTTGTTACGATCCGTGCGCGATTGTTCATGCCAAAAGCCAGCGGCGTGCATGAGTTCGTGCATTATGATTCCTTTCTTATCACATCCGGGACCAATAGATAGAAGCTGAGGACCTGGGATGGAGACTTTCTGACCCACGGACGACCAACAACTATTGGGGTAAAACTGATTACTAAGTAAGTTCACTGGAAGCAGAACACCAATGAGATCAAGAAGAACAATTATAATATACCGTAACATACCGTTTATTTGCCACATTGCAGAATTAACTGAATTAAAGGGCTAAATTTACAATCAATAATTAATTAAAACTACAATTACAATAAGAACAATAAAAATATCTTAATTAACTATTTACATGTTTGCATATTCACTATTGAAAGAGATAAAGGAACCTGAACGCTGGGTCTGGCAACGACTCCTATCAGCGTAAAGAACACTTCTGTTGTTGTCGCCGGATCGAAGGTTGTAGCTATGACCACTCGTTGCTGTTCTCGGTAGAAGAAAGTTAATGGGGTGGGATTTTTTAGACATCTTCTGAACATATTTACAGCTGAGCTGAGTTCGTCTTTCTTTCAGGCTGTCAAGGTTAGTAACATTAAGGGCACCTAAATAACTATAGCATGGATAGATAATATGTAGAGCCCTCTTTTGAATTGATTCCAGGTTATTAGAAAGAAATTCAGGAATATCTTTCCAGGTTTGCACGCCGTATTCTAATATAGGTCTTATTGGTGTCAGGTAAACCTTAACAATTCCACCTCTATTAACACCAACTTTTTTTAGAATCCTTAGGGAATACAGGCGCTTCGAGGCTTTTTTCGAAATGTAATCAATATGCTCACTCCAGTTTAAATCATTACTATAATAATACCGAGTAGTTTATACATTGTCACATGTTCAACTGTGTTGTTACCCAGGACAATTGGTCTTGTAGTAAAATTATCATTTTGCATGGAGTTAATTAACATTTCAATTACAAGATCACTCTTTCAAATTCTAACTCGATTGCAAGTGACTTGACTGCGCATTTGAATTCTACGGCTGTTTTGGAATTTTCAATGGTTGATATGAAAATCAAAACTATTGTTCGCCCGCCTTACCCAGGCCGTTTCACGAAATAGATCCAATGCGGTTCTTTCCTTCGCCGCCTGAAGCGTAAACAAGTGCTTCGGCGAAACTCTTTCATGGCCGCCATGATCACGCTCTTGACGCGGTCTGAAAAGAAGGAAGCCAGTACAATTAACAATGGGGCATTACGTGCAAAGCTATCACCATGTTATTCCTATTAATTCAAAGTTCAATCCCGAAGTCAACTCATTTCTGAAAATGTGTGCGATTGCAAAAAAGGGAAGGTTGGTTTTGGAGAACTCTGAGTACAGTTAATAAAACTATACACTACTACTGACATTAATACTCACATAAAGCTGGAGATATTCTATACGGCAAAACACGGGTTTTCCACAGTTTTTGTCTGTTTCTTACAGCATTTCTCTTTATCATGTTATTTGCACCTTCAGGTCCATCTCCATCACCTTCCTCTCGTTGATCTACAAGGTGCTTATCTTCATCAGACAACACAATATCTGCCTCGTACAGTCTGCCTTTAACACCTGCAAAAGACGAAACTTTATTTGTTTTATGCAATCTCGGGTTACGGTTGCCCTCGCAAGCTGAAGCAAATCCTCATTTCTGGTTGATCCTCTGAAAAGCTACCTTCTTCACAAGGCATTGCTTGCTCTGTTCATGCAAATCAAAATTATCTGGCATAATCTATAGGCCATGTATTAAATCCTGTTCAGTATTGACTTCGTTTACTCGTGATCTTTTTACCACAGAGACATGCAAACCTGAAAGCATGTTTCCTTACGTCAATGGTTGATGGTTAGAAGAACCTCTTCACTCGCGCTCCTAAGTTTAATACTTGGCACTAAATTCATACATGAAATTCTTAATTCAGAGAGGATTTGAAAAAAAACTACTTCGCATACGTAGCTACATTCAGTTTTCATTTGAAATTTAGGAAATTACTAGAGACATGATACTAAAAATTTCTATAATTCCCAATTTTATTTTATTACGTTTATCAATCCAACTAAAAGTCATTGAACGATACCATTGTTCAGCCCTTCTATGTGATTCAAGACTGCATCATCCGGGTTTTCTGATTAAATCGATTTTGACTCAGTTCCATTCATCGACGGATTGCCTGTAAAAAGAGGAATCATCAGTTGCCATGACTGAGCGTAAACAAAGGATCGAATGTCTGCGCATGCGCCAAAGCTGTAACAAGAAATAACTACTGCGAAGGTAACTCTCATAGTCAGTGTCAAGAAAAATACGTCATTTGTTTCCTTGGTAATATACTTACAAAAGAGGGAGAAATATAAATTTGACCACCCAACAACGTTCGAAATACCAAATTAAACTTAAACAATTGTAACAATAACATTAGTATTTCTATGTTTATTTAGCGAAATTTGATAAATTTGTGGTTCTATTCTGATGTTTATAAGTACAGTGGATGTATTTTTTCTTATCAAATTAATTTAACAAATCACTAACCTGAAGCAAGAGCCAAACACGTGACACATAACTGTATGATGAATACGAACACAATGTTTCCAAGGAACGGCATCTCTGGAGAGAGGCATCTATAAGTCCATCAACTATCCTCGTCTTTTCAAATTTGCATGAATTTCTTTTAGTCTTCAAACCTCAACCTGCTGGTTCGATGTGTTGGCACCTGTCTCCTGCTTGCTACCAAAGACACGTGTTCTTTGGTTCTCTGGTGATACTGAGTCTCGACCATCTGCGGGTGATAGGCGAGATCTTCGGAGGAACTGTTGGGATTTTTGTGCTGTCATTGGAGCTATATGTCGTGATATATCAGCCATTTTCGTTTGAATAGAAACATCGTCGGAGATTTATCTATTCCCGGAGTAAATCGGATGTCTGCGTACGAGACAGCATCTTTGAAAATTCTTCGATTTTCGACCTGTTTTTAGAAAATATCTTGTCCTCGGATGAATCGTCCATCTTCGGGTGACGGACAAGATTTCCCGAACTTTTAGCTTTTCACGCTATCTCGGGTAAAATGTCTCATCCTCGGATGTATCGGGTTTGGATGACAAAGAGCCAGATCTTAATTTTTCTGACATTTTGCCTTCTGAGAAACGAGAGTCTATTCGAAATCATGATCACGCTGTTATGTTTGAAGAAACCTCTTCGGAATGTATTCGAAAAACAACGCGGATGCAGAGGACCTAACAATTAGGTGGCTTCGCTTCAGTTCGGAATTTATTTGGCTAGGAATAACTTAGGAACGTCTACCACTTTTATACAGGTTTTATTGAGCGTTTTCTCCTCAAAAAGCAACTTATTTCCTTGCATATACGATTTAAATATTCTGAATTTATTCGAGGGTTCGTTGGACTGTCATCGGAAGGTGAAAGCCTAACCGTCTACCGTGGGCTGTTTTATGATCACTGAAATTTTCCACGTTTGGTTTTATGGCGACTTGCAAGCAAAATTCCTTTTATAGGAGTCAACACTTTTTTTTTTGAAACACGCCGGCGAACAGATAGAGTGTTAAAAGGATGAGACACCGCTGTCTTTCTAAAAGGCCGTTTACACGGCACAAAAATCGGGTACGGACGTGTCAAAAAAGTAGTACGGACCGCATAATTTTAGCCGTTTACATGGATGATGTTTTACCACGGGTCGGACAAAAAGAGGCACAAGGACCAAGTTAGCAAGGTTGCGTTTACACTGCAGTTTTTGGGGGACCGGACCAATTTCTTGCATGGTATTTGGTACAGCTGTCTGCTGTTATCGAACATGCGTACCGTATTTACTCGAATAAGCGCCGCGGCGCTTATTTAAAAATTGTACCAGACAAATTTACTTTTTCTATATTTTTATTCAACGGTACACTTTCTATCCGTCAATTTTCCAATGGACTGATGCTAAACTGATAGTAAATCTAGAATTACGAGAGAAATTCATGCGATGAAAAACCCCCGAGCGTTTAATAACCCGAGCAGAGAAATACAGTCACTTTGAACTGAAGAACATGACATTTAAAGAATATAAATTGCCGATGCTGTGTTAAAATTGTTTTATAGTGTTTTTCCTGGTTATACGGAATTCCTCGAACAAGCGCTGCATCGGGGGTGCGGCGCTTATTCGAGTAAATACGGTAATTCTTGTAAACAAAATGGCGACGCGTGATGCAAAAAATTGGTCCGGACCCGTGTTTTTTCTGGTTTTGGGGCCATAGACGTCTATAGCCCCAAAACAAGAAAAAACACGGGTCCGTACCCATCCCGCAACGTATATATCGTGCATATATCGTGCATATATATCCCCCATCCCCCAACGTATATATCGTGCATATATACGTTTCATAACCGCAGTTCATACATATGTTTCATATGTTTGTTGTTGTATGGTACGGATTGTTTACACGGGAAAAAATGTCAGGTCCGTACTCCTTTTTTGACAAGTCCGTACCCGATTTTTCTTCCGTGTAAACGGCCTTTATATGTCAAACCAGTTTCATTAAGATAGAGTTAAGTTACGAGAGAAAGGTCGGACGAGGCTCCTGGGACGAGGCAATGAGCGATAAGCAATGGCGCGCCAGGAGGCCGAGTGTAACTAGATTTGGCTGTAAGGGTTACGTTACCGAAGGGGATGTGAGAGAAAGAAAATTCGCCGAAACTTACCGGTCGGTGAGTGTATTTCTATCGAAAGACCGCGACTTTAGGCTTTGGTCGAGGTCTGCTTAAAGGCAGGCATTCCCTTGGGGTCGCCAAATTTCGTGCTGTGTAATCCACGCTTTCCAGCACTTTGCGGCATTCTTGCCTATACGTGCTCGTGTATATCATAAATGAGATGCTGTGACGGGCAATTCAAGCACGAAAGCTAATGAAACCGCCACATTTAGTGAGAAAAGGGCCGAATTCGAAGACGTTAGCTGACAAAGCTCTAAGAAGAGCTTTAGGTTATCCTTTTAACAACAACACCTGAGTTGATGTTCACGCAGGTTCCTCTATCGAGCTGACTCGTATCTAATTTCTCCTTACAATTTTATGACACGAGAATAAAGGAAATGATCACCAACTAAATAAGCCGTTAGTTTTAAGCAAATTCTCCTCGTCAGCACCTCAGGAAATGTACTGAGAGCAATATGGAGAGCAGTATAAATAATATGCCTACTGATTGATGCTAAATGTAAAGGGTTAAATGAGCTAAGCTAAGGCAAGAGTACTCGTCAGAAATTACCGTACAAATCGGACTGGATTTAGCAGTCTTTAAGATGCTGTTTCGGTGGCAAATTTTCATTAAAAAAGATCTTAAGCACAGCTTTCGACCAAACTATTTTCTTAAACGTAATTTGGCAATATCAACTAAGTTGAAATTGTAAATTGGCCATTATAAAGAGTTAAAAAGCTGACGTTTCGAGAGTTAGCCCTTCGTCAGAGCGAATATTTTCTTAAACGTATCCTTACTTCCGAAAAATCAGTGGAAGACTGCAATTTTTTGGAAGTTTAAGGGCTTGCGTGTGTGTGTGGGTTATTTTATATGTTTTAAGTGGCGTTATTTCTGTTTAAAAAACAACTGCAATAACTGGTTTCAAATTATTCCGTTTCGTTGTTACATTTGGCGAGCTGCGTCTCTTTTTTATGAACCTAATAGAAACTTCTAAGCAGCCAAAATAATTTTTGCATTGGTTTTTATTTAAAAAGCTTCCAAAGGGCCCCATAGCACACTGTAATTGAGGAAAACGTTAAAAAAATTATTAGCTAATTAAAGTCTTCTAAGTGCCATCTCTCTTTCCAAGGATCGTTCTCGTTCTCGTTCTCGTTCTCTTGCGCCACTTTTCTAATACAAGAATAAAAAAAAAAAAACAGCAAACCACTGAAAGCAGCTATATGGAGCGCATTTCAACACATTACGGCTTCCTGCATTCAAAGTCCGTTGCGTATTTAAACAGAAGCTTTTACTGACAGCTAACGAATTAACTGACATTTACTCGTTCATATTTTCCACTAATGTATAAAATTCTGAGTAATCTTGTCGTATATTGATAACAGTGGATGACGGCGATGTCTGTGCGAATTTATTATATGGACTGATATAAAATCCGGGTTACTCACGGGAATATTAGAATGGGTTCATTACAAAGTTATGGAGGAAAAGGATTTTGGAGTGGCGTAGATTTTTTCATGCAGCAATATTTTTCTGTTCTTATTTGCTGAACATGAGTCTTTTTTGGCATGGAAATTTCCGTGAAATGTTCTAGAAAGGAGACATGTTATGAAGGGAACTTTTTCAGAGGATGAAAAACGAGTTTTGAGCGTGAATGAATGTATTTGATGATATTAAAGCAGAGCACTGAAGGAGCTCTTTTCAACTGGATGTCGTTCTACCAAAACCAATGTAGTCGCAATGACCAATCAGAATAAGCTTAATATCTCAGAAAAGAGCCAATGGGAACCAATGCCACGATCATTGGTTCTAATTCTATATCTGTTTGGTCGAGAACGTTGCGAGTGTTGTCTCGACCAATCAAAAGCCAGAAGAAGCAACAAAAGAGATCCCTAAAGCACTTTTGAAACTCTGCCAGAAATTGCTTCAACTTACCCGCTCCATTCTTTTTGCCTTTACAGTTAGGTCTGCTCCCTTTGCACATTTGTACGTCAACAAGCGAGCCCTCACATATATCTCCACCAAACTGAGGTGCTGGTCCATCACACAGCCGAGACCTTGTCTGATACCCTTTTCCGCAAGTTGTACTGCACCCGCTCCAGGCCGCCCACCGTCCCCAATGGCCGTTCAAGGGGACTGAAATCAAATCATAGATTTACGTAAGTCGCCGACGTATGTCTAATATTAGAGTTTGATTGGGTTAGCCACTGTGATATATAGTTCATTGTACAACTCTAAACCGGCAATTTCTAGGCGTGCAGTGGTATTATTTTTAGTGCAGATTTTTCTGACAAACTGTCGTTTCTAATTTTCCTTCCATTTTATTAACCAGTCTTTTACTATATGACGTCACTACAGAAGATGTAGTTAACAGGATACGATACGTCTTTGCGAAAAAAACATATTTTTTAATGCCTTTTCTTTCTTCTAAGATATAGGTCGCCAAAAACGAGTCTTCGAGATAAAACCTATACTGATTTTCTTCTAAAAATTCAAAGAATAATTTCTCTGTAATCTTACCGTTACACTCATCAGAAACACAGCGTTTCATTTCAGTTTGTATTCCGTCTTCATCTACCCCTGGGCAATTTTTCCTGTCTTTTGCCGCACAGAACCTTTCACGCATTATTGTGCAATGTATGTTACAGGGACTCCAGTCTGTCCATCTACTCCACTGACCATTGGGAGCTGTTTGAAAATCGTCACGTGATTCAGTCAAACCATGCGTATGAAATATTCACAGGGTTTTCATACCCACGAGAAATATTCATTTCAATGCGTGAAGGACAACATTCTAGGTGTGGCTGACTACCATAATTTCCTCTATTATTATATGGAGGTTTTGCACAGTAGCCATGTTGGATGGCAGGAACAATGAAAATATTTTGCATAAGAAAGAATTTTTTTTCCCATAGGTAAAATAATCTATTGTTTCTGCCATCCAACATGGCTGCTGTGCAAAACCTCTATAATCGTTGTCCATCGAACCAGAATGACGGCGTTTTTGATATAATCATTTTCAACCCTTAGGGAAACATTTGTGGTATTTATGCTTAAACAAACAATGAAATTTCAGATACAAACACAACGATATTCAATCAACATACATGACGATCTCCGACTACCGACGACTCTTTTCTTTTTTTGACCGCGTGGGCATTCCAAACACTATAATTAGCAGCTGTCAAAAGCACTACAACATTGAAATCTTGAAAAATGTGAAAGTTTCATTCTGAGTCAGACAAAATCTGTGATTTTCAAGTCCACGCGATTCGAAGAGAATCTTCGGTAATCGTTACTACCATTTGCCTTCAACCGTGAAGCGTGAACGTTTTTTCGTGCATGTTTATTTTTCACACGAGACAGTTTCCCACACAACTTTGACGACTGGACCAGTGAGAATGTTTCGTTGTGTGGGAAACTGTCTCGTTTGAAAAATAAACATGCACGAAAAAACGTTTACGCTTCACAGTTGAACGCAAATAGTAGTATGAATATTTGTGGTGTAACTCACTTGTTTGCGTGACACTACTAACCCGATATCACGCAAAAAACTATGACACAAGACAAGAGAAGAACGTACAACAAAAAAAAGAAAGTAACGATAAAAAGTTATGATGGTTTCTATCAGATATATAACTCTCACTTTCGCAATCATAGACGGCGTTTATTTGTAGAATGTCTGTCTTGCTGAGCTTCAGTGTTTGCCCAAACAGCAAGTTGGGATTTTTCAGTGCAACCATAGTCATCTTTTTGTTTTTGGAGAACAGATAGTTGCCATAATGCATAATACTGTCAAAGTCATACATTTCACCAGCATAATCTACATCATCTGTGGAATACATGTTGAAATTTCTCTCTTGACCTGTGTAGGAGGGCATGGTAAATTTAAGGTTAAGATCTGGCAAGTCTGGCAATACCTATGATACCATTGTAAACATACCGCGTTTTCTCGAATAACGACCTAGGCGCTATTTTAAAATCCTCGCTAAAAGAGGAGGTGCTTTTTGGAAGGAGGGCGCTTCACTTTTCTCCTGCGTTGATTCCGCTCTAATTGAAGCTCAAAAGTTACAAATAAAGTGGCAATAGAAACAGGTTTTCCTTTAATTCCTATTATTTGAGAAAGTGAGGGAGAGAGGCTTGTGGAAGGAGCACTAGTTTGAGTTCATGGTCTTTGGGATGGGCACTTATTCTAGGGAGAGCGCTTATTCAAGAAAAAACGGTATTCCAAATTTAATGCACGTTTCCGTTTTAACAAATAAATTCCATGTTGCTGTCCGTTCAAGAACATTAATAAATAAATAACAGATGGCTGTAAAATGTCACATGAGTAGAAACCCAGTTTATTAGAGAGGAAAGCAGAATACTCACTGAATAGATCAATCTTTTTTTCTCACCTTTTTGAATATTTTCCCACAGTACTGCTACATATTTGTCTCGATCTGTGCGGGATTGCTCGTGCCAGAACCCGAGGGCATGCATGAGCTCGTGGAGTATGATACCCTTACTGTTACACCCATCTCCAATGGAGAGCTCCTGTGCACCAGACACATTATACTCACGGCCGACAACGGAATAACATCTATAAAGACACCACAGAATGAATTTTAGTAAAAGAGGTGATTCTGGGTTTTCTTTACATGGTAGATTTTAGCCTTGAACGTTAGTTATAGGTAAAAGATAGAGTCTGCTGGAGAGGCAAGTGGCGTATCCAGCCGGACTTATCCCGGTGTTACTGCTCTTAGCCCGGGATGAGGTGTTAGTCCACCGCAGGTTGCCCCCAACATTTTGCAAAGTTTCCCTGACATATCGTTTCACTTTTACTCCTCAGTTGGAGAGACGCTCAGTTAGAAGAAGTGTCTTGCCCAAGGAAAGAACAAAAATAATCTCCCAGGAATCAGACCCGACCTTTTAATACTGAGCCCAATGGTTTAGAGCGTGTCCAAAAGAGGCCCTTGAAAATTATATACGGTTATGATAATCATTATAGAGAAGTGCTTCAGATGGCAGAGCTGAAAACCCTAAGGGATCGTAGAGAAGACCTTTGCTTAAAATTCTTTAACAACATCGTCTCCATTCCCTTGGATTTTTTGTGCCACTTACTGCCTTTCGATAACCGAGATCAACTTATGGAGTTACCACGACGCATACCATTAATTTAGAGTTCCTTTAAAACAAATCGGTTCAGAGATACTTTCATTCCAGCAAGTGCAAGACATTTTAACTAACATTTATTACAATTGTATATGCGTATTATGCACGATCCTCGCAGTAGAGAGTGCTATTTATGCAATAAAACCGCAGTTCAAAATATATGAACTTCATATATTCATCGTATCACAATTGTATTTGTAAATTAGTTCCCTTTTAGGTTTGATTTTATTATATAGTTCTATTACATAATTTGTACACCTTTGCAATTCAGCTTTCAGCTGTTATTAAGATATTTTTCTTAATAAACGTCTATATCTATATCTAACACAGGTTAATCGAGCCATTGATGCTAGAATGCAAATCTATCGTAGCTACCTCTTGTTCTCTCCTGAACTTGAACATAACCGAATGATTACGCTGAAAGACTGAATCCCGAAAGCATAGAAAGCTTTGCCCTAAGGGTTATCATTCCTAACTCATTTTAAGATTTAAGAATGGTCCTCTAGGGTCTACTAGAAATCCTAAGAACTCTAGGGATTCTGTAAATAATGTTTCTCGTTTTGTATTTATACCTCTGAGAGAGACACCATCTCCCGTGGAGAGACATACCATCAGAGGTTTGTTTCCTTCATTACTGAGAGCTACTAAGGAAATTAATTTCTTTTCGCTCACCCATTTTTTTTTACCATCCTGATCCAGTGTTTATCTCCGTCCTCCTTATCTTTGAAGCGCACGCAAGACACATCTTGTATGGCTTTAATGGCAGCTCGAATATTATCTCGTGCATCAGCTTATTAAAAGGAGAAAACGATGCGCGTTTACAAGACTGTTAATAAATAACTTGGATCGGTTTCGGTATTTGAGCACTGCGGACCTACCCCTCCCCTAATCAAACAACAGTCAACAAATAGCAAGTCAGGGTTAATGTTGAGTTAGGGGAGGGGGGGTGCACAATTGCTCAGATACAGACGTTAAACCGAAAGCTTTGTCACTATCAGTATAAAATTGTACGAATCTGATTGGTTACTTTGATTATAGAAGACGCTTTATTTGGGTCAAAATCTGACATCTCAAATGTCACTCACCCAGGTCAACTGTGGCCGTCACTGGAATTATCCTGGACGGCCAGATCTTTCTACGCGAGCGCACAGCTTTCCTTTTTTCTGCATTTTCCTCGATATTCTCGACTTCAACCTGTGCACCCTTAGCATTTCCAGTTTCACTAGTATCTATCTGGTCGTAGTCACCTTTAGTGAGTTTGATGTCGGTTTCGAAGAGATTCTTATTTTCTTCTGCAAGAGAAGAAACACAAAATACAAAATGTCAGGTCACTGATTAGCTGTGTGCTTCTTACAACAAAGTCTCTTAGTTGCATAATAAAAGCAATAATCAATGGAGAGTGGAGAGTAATCCGGGTGGCATCGGATTTGCTTTAACACGCTTTGTGATTGGTCCAGAAAACTCGTGCGACTCTCTCGACCAATCAGATGCAAAATCACAACAAATCATGAGCGCTGCTCGCTGGCGTTATCCCGCGTGTCAAGCTGTTTCCTTATTGGTTCCTTGCGTTAGTTTACTTTGCCGTGATTGGTTGTCGTGATTATTTTGGTTCTGGATTGGCGATACTGAGTTGAGCTACGCTTTACTAATATGAATGAGGGATTGTGATGACGTTACGAACTATTTTATTCCCAAAAACCGTACCTTCGTTAATCTCCTCGATTTTATTAATCACGGAGGAATCTGTTAGATTTTGTGGAACTGTTTGGTCCGTTCCGTCGAAAACGGGGGGGTGGCGACTCGGTTTACCTGTCATGCCAAGCCAAGATTCAGTGACAATTGTGAAAACATGACGGCATATTAAACTCTGAAGCAATGCCTGTAATTTATTGAAAAGAAATAACTCACCATGAAGAGGATGCGAAACGCAAAGAGCAATTCCAAGGGAAAATGTTAGTAGCAACATCTTGGTTAGTCAATTAAGGGGAATAAAACTTGATAAATCTTTTAAAACACAAATTTAAATGAGGTCAGGAGAGGTCCTTCTTCTTCAGATCATCGTTTTCAGTTCACGATCGACGTGTTGCTATCTGTAGGTGCCGGCCTACATTTGGGGAGAATCTCTGTAATCCTTCAACAGTGCAAAATGGTGGTAGGTGTCAAAATAACCATATCCACGCTGAAGGAAAAAAAAATTAAGAAGATAATTAGTCGTGACAGGTGCACATCAGGTCTGCGAGGGGTAATCAAAGGGCTCTTTTTGGTCAGAGAAGTTTCCCGAAGAATAACTACAGAATTATGAGGTGCAAAGCAAAAGAAATAGAAGAAAAAAAGGAAAGAAATAGCGGCAACAGGAAAATAGGAAAATGAACAAAAGATGCTGTTTATCTACCAAATATGCTCTCAGTAAACTAGTCATTTGTCAAGTTATCATTTACTAAGCAAGCATTCAGTTCATAGTTCGATCACTTCTAATGGTTACTTATACTTTGCAAAAGGTAAATATCGTAAAATATCACGCTATCATTGGCTAAGTGGTATTTCATTGATATTATTCGATTGTGAATGTTTATTGTTGCAATTCACGTTCGGGTAAACATGGCTATATCTTTCACAGACGGCGATAGCTTTCGCACTTAGGGCAATGGCAAAAGTAACCAGGACGCATTCATGGAATAAATAAATTAAAATGGTATCAAAGCTCTACCTACCTTTGAAATCCGAGAGGCAATTTCCTACGTTAGTGTTCTTTTTTGCTATCGGGTAACGCTTGAAGTAATTTGCAAAGTGGTAAAAGATATTTCTTGAATCTCGCTACTCGAGCGTACTTGTTTCATAACAGGTGCCTGCGGGTGCTTTTCGCTATTCAATGATATTTAACGACTTGGAAGCCGTTATTAGCTGGTAGGAAACTATGGACACTGTTCGAAACATACATTTCCCCAAAACGCTAACAAAGAAAATGGCTGAATCATTTCAAAAACTGAACCGACGCATACTGTTTCTCGCATGGGTGGAAAAGATAGCACCCCATGGGCGTCATGTGCATGTTGGACTCATGCAAAAACCATTTTTTTTCAAACACCTTCATCATAACTTCTTAACAAGGTTTAGTGGAGCCCAAGTGATAGTTTGCCATCTATTGCATCTGATGTTTCGAATTCTCCATCTTCAGCCATATTTGTTCCCCTGTGGCACATTCCTGCCTTTTAGGAGTTTCTCCACCCTTGAAAATGATTACTAAAGACGTCTTTCCAATTAACAACTGGAAGGACCCCCAAAAACGGAGAGATTCGCTCCCTTAAGTGAAAAGTAAAGTGTTCCGCTCTGTCAAACAACAGGGGTTAGGAGGTCAGGACTTGCCACAAGTAGGGTAGGTTTCCAAAATCATGATACAAAAAAAATATTCCACACCACAAATCAGCGACAGAAAGTACAAATATATTTTCCATGAATGTTTACTTAAAATAATTTAAAAATATTTAATTAGTTTAAAAGACATTAGTTACAGTAAGAAGAAACAGAAAAAAGAAAGTATATACGCTTCGTTGAGTTCTTTATCTTAAAGCAGCCATATCGCGGTTTGTCCAACTTGAAAAAATGCCAGCTTAAATCATTCAGCTTTGTTGTACTATATATACTACTTTACATAGTCTTGACAAGTGGACTTTATTGTGGTGGTTGACTGCACTGCCGTGCAACAAACTGTCCTTGCTATCATTTAAAACTTGGAGTCTACCCTTTGCAATAATACTCGTTGCCATCTTGGTAGGGTATCTACGGGGTATAGGAATCTAGGTCTGTTTAGCGAGCTGTTTAGACATTTCACCCCTTTGGTAACAAACATGCCAGGAAAGAGTAAATTCTAAGCTACCGAAATTGAAACCGAGAACAGCTTCCTACCCCCCTGTCGCAGCCAATGAGATATGACTATGGTTATGAGACTGTTAAATGCAATTCTCTATAACAAGTGTGTCAAACTCCTTCTCAGGGTCTCTCTGTTTCCCCAACCCCTCTCCCCCACCCCCTTCGCCGGCGGCTCGTAATTTACAAGCTTTCCTCGTGTTTTCGCAACATTCTGCGTGGCTTTATCGCGTTATAGAGCCCGAAAAAATGTGTTCTTTGCGTAAATACAATATCTGATGGGTAGGAGAGATAACACTCTTTACTTAACCACGTTAACTGTAATGGTAGGTTTTTCCTTTGCAGCCGAGTGGTCGTTTCTTTTCTTGAAATTAAGCGGTTACCATCCACCTAAAAAATAATCGTCAACATCAGTAACAGATTGGCGGAATCTAGAATAACTAAAAACCAATAGCGGTTTTCCATCCTTTTTTTCATTTGCAGTAACAGACCACATAAAATCTGGCTAACATGTAGCTGCGACCTCTCCCCCTCCCCCCCTCCAAGTAGCTGTGACCTCTCCCCCGAGAAAAATCCTCTATCCCGTTATCTCCTTAAACGGAAGTGATTTAAAAACTAACATGGGAATGAAAACGAGTGGTATATGGCCTCTATAGCGGATGCAATCTCTTGGGCTGATCGTCTTTTGCTAGATTAGGGGACGACAGATTAAGTAATTCTGTACGTCCGTCTTTCCGGCGTTCGTACGTTCGTCAGCACATTCGTTGCATCCATCCTCCCGCCCTCCCACCTGTCTTATGGCTAAGGGTACTAAACACGTTAAAAGTAATTCTTAAACTACTATACGTAATATTTACAGCCTGAATTGTACATTTTTGGGTCTTCCACGCCAGGGTGTATCTATAAAACATTACTTAAACGCTTGGGGCTCTTACTTGACTTATATGGATTAACGCTATCATTCATTTGACTTCGAAGGAAGCTGTCTTTGGTTAAAACAAAGTTGAACTTAGTTGGAGAACTTTGAAGAAATTTTCGATCGAGAGTCGCAAACCAAAACTAATTAATCCCGAAGGCCATGGAGGAAATAAAAGAGAATCCTCCAAAGTATTCAATGAGAGCTCAGAACAAAGGCGAGTAGCCAAAACGAAGAAAGGCAAAAGATCGAAATCGACACTCAACTGTAAAGTAACCTTAATATTTAGGGAATTTTCACTTACAGGTCATCTTTAACTGACAGGGAATGATTTCGACAAGACTTCCTTTGCAAAACTTTCCACCATACATAGGTTTCGGGTCATCGCATTCCCGGGACCTTTTCTTGTAGCCCTGGCCACATGTACGAGAGCATTGGCCCCAAGGACCCCATCTGCCCCAGTGGCCTTCGACTGGAACTACATTGGATGGAAGCAGGCCATCAAAAAGAATTAAACATTGAAATCCATGGACTCTACTCGGCTCTAAAAACGTCTTCCTTCAAAGACTGTTGTGAAGTCTCATTTCAATGAAGGCTTTAAAACTCACCGTAGCATTCCTTGATTGGGCACTTTGCCTTTTGCACTTGAATTCTATATCTTTTTGTTGCTCCTGGACACTTTTTCAAATCCTTTGCTGCGCAGAATCTTTCTCTCTCCTTTGAGCAGTTCGTGTCACAGGGACTCCAATTACCCCAGTTACTCCAACCACGACTTTTGTCAGCTTGCAGAAAGAAAAACCACGTCAGGTTATACTAAAAACATTCAAAAACAGTTCGTGAAGTCCTTGGAGCTTCAATCTTTATTCTCAAAAACTGATCCTCAAAAGACGTGTACCAAGAAAGTACTTGTGCCATCCAATAAGTCGTTTAAAGTATCTACGTTACGTATCGAACATTTTGAAATACTTTATATAAATCAAGCTTTGATTTCGTCCATATTGTCATTTGTAATCTGGGGTAATTAAACCTTAATGATCCTTGCAATCTGATTGTTTCTCAGTGGTGCGATTTAATCCCGAATTGCACTATATTTTTCTCAAAATCGCACCTATTTCCCAACCCTAATAGGGTAAGACAGTGCAACTTTTAAAACATTTTGTATTGACTGACATCCCGTATTTGGGTGATTAAATTTTGCTATTTCAAAATCGATGCGATGAGTGGTAATTGAACTTCGTTTCGTACAATTTTGGTTGGCAATATTGCCAACCACAAGTACAATTAATTGTACTTGTGATTTCCCATGGAACGTTACATCACTTCATTTTTCTTTTAGTTACTCACATTTACAGTCGTACATGTAGTTAAGTTGTATAACATCTGTTGGGCTCAGCTCGGCGATTTGACCAAACTGCAGCGTTGGGTCCTTTACAGACAACATGGTTGGCTTCTCGTTCTTAGAAAACGCATAGTTTCCATAATGCATAATACTTGAGAAGTCGTAAGAGCCACCAAAGGAATCCTCGTTCTTTGGTTTGTAGCGGTTAAAATTATGTTGTTGCCCTAAAAAAAAATTAACTATAAAAAGGGAATTTTCTCTTTTTCTTCTTCGTCGTCTCGTCCCTTTGCAAGGGCGTTGACAAGATTTTCCAGCATCCCTCTAGCACCTAGGGGTCTATGCTCCTACCAGTTTGTATAAATCTTTGGTATTGTTATTAATATCATTATAGTTGCTATTAATATCAGTATTATCCTATCAATTGCAAGTTTTCGTATTGTCTGCAACACATTTGATGCAAGTTTTAGCTCTGAGAATTTTGTGTTTCTTCAAAGAGTACATGTAACTCCTTGTCCATAGCTTTTTCCTCGTGATTTCTCTTCTTAGCATTGATGTGGTCTTGTAAGGTAAAACTTTTAGCCTACATACCCTTCATAATGTTTTCCCAGAGCACCTCAAGATAGTCATCTCTGTCTGACCTGGACTGTTCGTGCCAGAAACCAAGCGCGTGCAGCATCTCGTGCATAATAATTCCCTTACTGTTACACCCTATACCGATTGACAGCTCCTGCGCTCCGGGGGAGGCATATTGACGACCAACTGGTGAATAGCAACTGACAGAGTGCATGCAAGCGATATTCAGCTAAATGTTTTGGCTCAAAACAACGCAAACAACATAAAAACCAGCGAGTTTCCTTAACAGATGCTCTCTTAACGAGTTTTTCTGTGCAGTATACTTGGACAAATACGACACGCTTTCCATAGGAAAGTCCACAAGTCCTAAACTGACATAACAATCTTTGAACAGGGAGACTTCTTAAGGATAGAGATAGAGGAAAGGACTTCTATACTTCTCTTTTAGGAAAGAAACTACGACGACAACGAGAACGACAATTCAGTCGCGTTTTTTTTACTATATAAACGAAAGACTTCATTCATAGGCATGTCATGCTTTATGGGAGATTTTAAACTGCCAACAACGGTAAATGCATTGAGCTACTGGCAAAATTCTTCGGACAAATGAATTTTCGTTTACCCAGACGTTGCATCCTAGACTCCTCAATTATTCATAGTACTATAAATTTCTTGCTATGGATCAGATTAATATAGGACTGAGTCTCTTACGTAATATTCTTTGATGGTCTACTTACCCACTTTTATTAACAAAAAGGATCCAGTTATCGTCAGCTTTCTCTCTCATCCGGAATCGAATGCAAGATTTTGACTGAATCTCAGATAAGGCCGCCAAAATATTTTTATAACCATCCTCTATTTGGGATAAGAAAAAAAAACGGATGTAGTTTGTGTTTGTAATTTTTTTAACGAATTTCATTATCGCTTTCAGGCTAGCATTTGCCCCTGCGTGTTGATCCTTTCCTTCCAACATCTAAATCAAAATTCTACTCGCTAATGCCCTCCATCTCTGAGATATTGTTCCCCATTTGAAACTATCTACTTGTTGATTAAAGGAGGTAAAACTGCGTTTGGGGGTATAACGATGAATAATAATAATAATAATAATTTACATTTACATAGCGCAGACCTCTATATGAATGTATTCAGTCGCGCTTCCCAATATCGTAAGATAAAATTATGGCAAAAGTAACTAAGATATAAGAACCCATTGGAACCTACGAGTCTATGCACTCAAAGACAACAATAGCCTAGCTAAGTGAATAAGAAACATGAGTAAAAATAAAAATCTATTTGAAAGCTAGATTAAAAAAAATTAGTTTTGATAGCAGTCTTGAAAGTGTCCAATGTCTTTATGTTACGAATTGTGGAAGGTAATGCATTCCAAAGATGAGGTGCAGCTGATTGGAAGGCACGGTCACCAAGGGTTGGACGGGTCCTGGTGCTTGGTAATTCGAGTAAGAAAGACTCGTTTGACCTAAGAGAGTACCTGGATCGCTTTTTAATGCTAATTAAATCAGTCAAATAGTTAGTGGCTAGACCATATAAACAGTTAAATGTCAAAAGGAGAATAGATAATTGAGATGAAGATAATTTGGTTTTATTAACTGAATTCATAATTCAAACCGGCCACCGCAGAGAGAGGCTCTCAATAACCATTAGCCGTAAAAGGGCAAAAGATTTAGCCGTTAGACTAAATGAATGACAAATTTCAACCGTTAGTCTTTAAAAAAAATAAATAATCGTAAAATTTTTTTCTATTAAAAAAAAACGCGAAGAAATTTACCATTAGCCGTAAAATGGCCAAAATCTCAACAGTTAGCCGCAAAAGCCGCCACCCCCGGGAAGACCCTTTGGAGAGATTCCACAGCTGACATTTAGATTTTGCCCTTAGTCAGAGCGTATTCGTAAGGGGAGTAAAAACGTTATAAATTTGCTGTTGTTACTTTCATTGGCTACCCATCATTTTTATTTGACGTTGTTCGACCCCGTTATTATTAGGCCATAAATAAGGACACCTCGCTATATCTTACTTGCGGCTGCCGCTAGCTCAAGAGGTACCTCCTTCGTCACCCATAGACTTCGCCGGGAGCTGATGGCCTTTCGCTTGGTAACCACGCTGTCCACATCAATATCTGCGTTATCTTTCGAGTTCTCATCCTTGGTGTCCACGCCCGCTCTGTCACTCTTAGTCAGCTGTATGTCAGCCTCGAAAATGTTTTTGACTTTCTTATCGGCGTGATCCTCTGGGTGGGTGTGGAAAAAGATTTATTATTATTATTATTTATTATTATTATTATTTATTGTTATTATTTATTATTATTTATTATTTATTAAGATTTATTATTTTAAAAAAATTGTTCAAAACCGTTGAGTAGCACAGCAAAATGATATTCCCACCACGTAACCCTACTTGTTACTGCGGTATTCCCGCTTAGCAATTGTTTCTTCTGTTTTTTTTTTTACGTTTCTCATTACATTTTGCGTTTTTGCACACACATTTTTCCCATTGTTTTCGCATTCTTTTCATTCACGGTGATTTGTATTCTGTTAGATTTTTTCGCATAATTTTTCATTTGTATAAGTTTTTTGGTAAAATTGAACATTGGGGTATCAGAATCCGTTAGGATTCAACATCGTTTCTTTCACTGCGTTCATCTCTCTAAGTTTTTCCGTCCTTTGCGTTCACAAGTCATACAACGTCTGTAAGTGTCTTTCCTCGTCCGATTGAATTTCTTCTGTTGTTTTGCGTTTTTCTATTCTTTCTACTTGTATTTTGTATTAACTTGTAATTATTTTGTTCTTTATAGCAACCACGATCAACCGTAATGTTAATAAATTTTAAGGCGTTCGCGAGTTGAAACCTGGATTCTGTTAGCAGGCACACTACCCAATTAGCTTTTTTAATGCACAGCGAACTCAATCATATTTCACAGTCCAGACAGACAGCCCATTCACTATGCGTCCCATCTTGCCTCTTTCTAATCTGTGAATGAGTGTTTGGCGCGTTGACGTCATGACTCACAGTTGTGCCCAAGTTTAAACGAGTAAAGGACACGCACAAACTGAGGTGACTCTTCCCAAAACGACAGATATAATGTAATATATAACGATGCAAATATAACAATGCATAATTTGATTTTAATAAAAACAGCACAGTTTAAGTTCTGTAAAATATTTTGTTTACACCAGAGCTTAGGTCAGAGAAACACGGTCTTACCTTCGTTAGCTTCTTCGATCCGATCTAAAATCGTGTTGTGTTTGAGGCCAGAAGGGTTATCTAAAATAAAGATTAAAATGGAAAAAATTTGTCACGGTGAAATCCTTAGCCATGCATGAAAGAAGGATGTACGCGTCTTGGGAAAGATCTCACACGTGCAAACAAAGCTCGCACATGTGTGAACAAAGGTTGCACACGTGCGAACAAAGTTTGCACTCGTGCGAACAAAAGGTCGCGCACATGTGAACAAGAGTTGCGCTCTTTTCAATTAGAGTCAGTGGTTGTTGTGAGGGCATTCATTGAATAGGGTAGTGCGCATGCGAACAAGAGTCAATCGGCTAAAATGGATTATCTATAAATAGTCTTCATGTATTGTTTTAGATGATTCACTGACATCTCACTACGCGTCCAGCTCTACGCATAAAAGTGCACGCAAATGGCTAACCATGAGCGCATGTGCTCCAGAGCCAAACAAAGTAGCCGGCCTTAGGAGAATTAGTGAAAAAAACAAATGGCGGTTTTCTCGTAAACTTCCCACTAACTTACCCTTAACACTTACATAACTTCAAGATCCAAAGTTGTCACATTTTATAAATCTACCAATCTATAAACTCAAGCTGAAGATGTTACGTTCAAAACATGAGAACCACCAGGCCCACAATAACCTCTTTGTGTCACAGCTACCATAACGGAATAACAAAGTTATTTGAAGCGTGAAGAAATCGCCAAATAAGAGAAAATAGACCATTAGACCCTTAACTTCACTCAAGCGGGCTCCTTCGAAAAAAAAAAGTTTCAGGAAGCGGTTTTTTACCTTTCAATTTCCTTAGAAGGTTAAAAGAACTGGTACCACATGCCGGCCTGGATAAATACGGTGAACAAAGAATTCATTACGTTAAATCAATTGCCCTAAACAAATTAGGTTATTTACCGTTTTCATTAACAGCAGTCTGCCACGGTTTCGGATTGGTTACCTCCAGGCAGAAAGCGAGGGACAAAACAAATAAAAGCATCTCGCATGGAAGGTAATCGTTGGGCTGTTTCCACGGAGAATCGGTGAACTGTATTAGTGGCTTTTGTGGCCTAGGAAGAAAAGTAATGGAGTGAAACAACGAGACTGCCTCACAAAGTTTAAAAATACAATTCTTTAGTGCAAACTATTTAAGCAACGAGGTCGTTTTGTTTAGTTTCAAGTTAAGTTTGTAAAATAAAACGCAATTTCATCTCAAATACAAAACAAAAAATAAAAACAGGCACGAAAATAAAATGAAACAAATAATTATGATTTACTTACGATGAATATTCGAGAGGGGTAGTTTGTCAAAACCCAACTCTTCACCTCTCGACAGCCACTCTCTTGTAGTCAATTAAGCAATTGAAATGGAAGATCTCATTCGTAATTGGATTTTCTCCGTCAAATCTCATTACTTTCCTGCCAGTTTTTAAACCAGGTATTTTGAATTAAACATGACTTGTGACCTTGGGGTTTGTGCCCGCTCAACCGTTTTAAGGCAAAGAAGGTGGTTTGGTGAATGGAGTGTGACTGTAATTGTCTTCATAACGCCTGCAAGCTATTAATTGCTACTTTGAAAGCTTCACATGATTACTTGATATCGCTTCTAGGGATGGTTTTATTCCAAATATCGAGGTTACTTAAACGAAAGTTTTAGTGAAGGTTGCCTTACCAGTTACCACCTTGATAAAATATGCACCTCACTTCAATTTGTCAATTGCCTAAATTGCAACTTTCCTAACGGGAATGTAATGCCATAGATGAGGTAAGTGGGCTTCCAGGGAATTTTGTTTTAGTAAGTAATAAGTCTTTCTAAAAATTTGCAGATTTCGTTTGCATTGTCTAGGAATTTCCTGGATCTGATGAGAAATAGAACAGTATCTTGAAATTTAAGGGATATCTTTATACAAGGATGTAGTTACTTGGCTGAGCTTTGTGTTTTCCTCGCTAGTTTCATGAAACAGTAGTCAGAAAAAAAAAAAAATTTTAGATGTCTTCCACGAGAATAACACATTCCTTATCACTTAGTGCTAGCAACTTTTCAAATCGAAAAAAAAAGATGGCATTTTGCGAAAAAAAATTAGAAAAAATGTTTTGGATTTTGTTTCTTGATAATTTTCTGGATATTAACACGATTTCACGTGATATTTGTGGAAAGGCCTAGCAGTTGAACTGTCAAAAATTTTCGCGTACAGTCTGCTTCTGTTTTGTGAAAAAACTGGGGAAAAGCTGACGGCACGACGAGATAACATAACCTAACTTAGAAAGTACTTGAGAGGGTATGGAGGCAAGAACCCGGTTTTAAAGTAATTACCCCTTCGCGAACCGATGCTGTACAACTTTTAATCGGAATATCAAAACCATCTCACTAAAATCCATCATTTGTAATACACAGTTAATTTACTTCGGCATTAGCCTCTCCTCGCTGTCATCGCATAATTTGAATCGGTCATTTAGGAGAGTCGAGTTTTAGGTCAGCTTCACTGATCTGTGGTTACAAAGATGTCCAGTATAACATCACTTCCTGAAACAATTATCATCTACTTACTGAGTTTTTGTAAAATCAAAAACACGTGAAGTCATCTTCCTGATAAAAGATTAAAATTGACGTTTCATAAACTCTGTTCCGATTCTTATAAATATCGGCCAATCTCATTTCAAATTGGTCAGTTTTCCATTAAGTATTTTCATCCATTGTATCAAGTCTTAAATATCAATGCCATTCCCTAATTTCAGGTCCCTTTGCTGCCTGCAAGCAGTCACTTTCATTTAATCATTACAGCAGATTATTCATTTTAATTATCTCTGCAAATTAAAAAGTATTCATCTCTTCCGTTGTCTTCCTCTTCCTTTCTGTGTACTTCTTCTGTTTCCAGTCCTTTTCGGTTTTCTTTCGACAGGTTTATTGACGGGTGCCGCCGGTGGGTCATACTGACCAGAGAAAAATATTGCGGGCTCAGACATTGAGTTCTGGGTATACAACTTTGCTAAGGCTTCCTCCTCTTCCAAAGTGATTGGTTGAGAGCGTCTATCCCCACGGGGTGTGGCAGGGGCAGACAGTGACACTGGATTTCGCCTGGTAGTTAAGAGCCGTAGATTTTCTGCAGACTGTGAGCGCGACATGTGTTCTTCAGTCGAGGACTCGCCGAATGAGCGATTTTCTTTAACAGATTGAAGCACCGAGTTGGTAGCTTCCATTTCTATGGCTTCTGCTGCCTCTTCCACCGACATGGTGCGAGCTACAGTCGTTTTGTTAGGGGGAGGTGACTGCTCGAGAACGCTCGCCAACGCTTCAGCTTGAGAAGTTGTTCGTCGTCCATCGCCGTGGACTGGTGACAAACACTGTTCGGGCGTAAGCATGGCTGAAGGGAAAGACGCCTGAGCGCCATCATGTAACGTATCACTTGTCGACTGCGCATGCGTTTGAGGTTGCTCGGGTCCATCTACATCTTCATTCACGGACGCATTTGTTTGAGAATCTGTCGATGATTCGAGCTGTCCTGGGCCTAAATTAACGTACGCTGGAGGTGTAATGGAGTAATAGTGTGATGGAGGGGAAGCCATGGCTGGCAGCTCTAACAGCTGAGCTATGCAGTGCAGTTTATGCTGTCTAAGCATTGTTCGCCGCCTCTGAAGGCGCTGCTTAGCGGACATGCAACGAATATAATCATCAAAGATGAATTTGGCAAACAAGATGGGACGAGAGCGGACCTTGGTGAGGCTGCGGGCCGAGCTGGGCTGGTGTATGGTGATGAATAAAGAGCGACTGTCCTCCTTATCGGGAGCGGTCTCTACATCCTAATACCCAAAATAAAAACCGTGTTACTATGACCAAAACATACAACTTATCTGACAAAGAGGGCTCGTGGGGCTTTAGGGATGCCTTGCCGTGAAGGGGGCAGGCACAGAGCAACACACCCTCTATGGGTTACTGGAGTTTTATTACTGATGCATTTTAAAAACACTTTTATTCGCTCTCGTAGCAATGACTCCTTTCTTAAATCTGCTCACTGAGTATCGAGAATATCGTAAGGGAGGTGTAGGAGGGGTATACTTCTTAATACAAATCAATGAAGCTCAAAATCACCCAGCAGTCTCTTCAATGGAGATGCGCACAAAGATGGTCACAAATAAAATATGAGGAAAGGATGGCAAACAACCAAACTTTCTTACTTGAAGTCTGGCGACAAACTTGACCACACCCCACCCTAGCTTGGTGGTGTCTGGTTCAACCAGTATAAACTGGGCCTCGTCTATTACAAGGAAACGGCGCTGCTGCCTGCAAAAGCAAAACAAAACAAAAAATAAACAAAAACAAACAGACAACAATCATTTTACTATAAACGGGCTTTTTGGATGAAGAAGTAAGTTGAGAGTTTCGTGTTTTGTCCAAGAATAGAATACAAGGACGTGGCCACGATATTTGATCCAGAGTCAAGCGCACGCGCACGCGCGCACAGGCCATTAGGCCACCACGTCTCGCGCGAAATCTCACTTTGGGCATTCTTAGTTCTTAAGCTTGTGCAAGTAACTTACTTGTCCTCTGTCTTTACTGTACAAGCAATCAGATCACTGTTATCTAAAGATCGGAAAAGAAGAACATTTAGATGCTTTCCACATCATTTTCACTGTTTTGATCGGCGCGTACCAAAGTGACAGTCATATAACCTTATTTTAGTATGACACTCACTTAAATCCAGGACGTCTTCCAAACGGACGGAGTTTTCAACTTTTGATAGAGGTAGTTGCTGTTCTTTCTTCCCCAGTAATGCTAAGCAAAGGTCTCTCATGAGCAGGAACACACGAATTGCCTGCAAATATATTGAAGCTGCTTTCAAACTTGAAAAGTACGTGGCTTATGAGGATATGGCCTATTTGAGTACATGAGAGCTTCGTGTAAGAACAAAACACAAGTATAACTTCCATTTAATTTCAATAAAACAAAGTACTCCTCTCCAATGTCACAAACCAAACATGGGCAAAAGTTTTCCCCAGGGAATCGATATCAAACCCCTCCTCGCTCCCCACCGTTTTGACAATTCACATGATTGGAGGCACTAACGTCGCCGAAAACAGTTAAAAATAAAATGTCACTGGACTCACCCTTCGAGTGTGTTCCACTTCACCACATGGTAGACGCTTGTAAAACTCAATTCCAGTCAGCGGTGTTCCCGTAACTGGAAGGAGTAGCGTTGCGTCCATCATCAAGTGTTGCACGTTGAGAGGCTTTACCTGGTTGAAGAAAGTAATTGTATTAATTCATCTCTACCACGTTCGTGTGTTATGTCGAGCAGACTTGTTAAAAACAACCAGAGACTACAGCTTAATGCACATGCCTAAGCTTTCCTTACTCACTATCCCAACATTTAAAGGGATAAATTCAGGGAAAATGGCCGCAGAATTTGTTTGAAATTCTCTTTATTTGATAAAGCGCTTCTACAAAAACAGTCAACGGGAGAAAAAAATGAGAATATGGCATTAGAGGGTGAAGAACTTCAACTGAATGATCTAGCATTGAAAACAATAATTCGCGTACTTGCAATTCTTGTCATTACTCAGTCCTGACCAATATAATACCTTAATTTAAAAAATTCACATAAACCGGCAACTTCGAAGCCACACCTTTGTTTGCCGGTACTCGTCTTCAAACATATCCAAGAAAATTTCATCCTCCTGGGAGGTAAAATAAAAAAGTTTTGCGTATGAAATATTGTACTCACAACGTCCAATCAGAAGTAAGGAAATTACCCATAAGAACCAATGAGAACTCAAAGTATAACAAGGCAAACTGTCTAAAGCGCGGGAAAACGCGGGCGACTAAATCGTGATTGGTTTTAGTCTTGTATCTGATTGGTTGAGAGAGTGGCGCGAGTTTTTTTGGACCAATCACAAAGCGAAGTAAAGCAGAACCAGTCATGATCCCAGATTACTATCGACACTTGATTGAAAATGCTCTATTATCGAGAAAATGCACAAAATAACAGTTTAAAAGTAAGGTAAGGTTTAAGTCTTATTTCAAAAGGCCTTTGGACGCATCAAAGATTACAGCTGTCATCTAATGTTGTACCTTGTAATAATGCCGCAACTGTAACGTACTGGCCTCACGAACATTCTAAAAAAGCAAATAAAGGAATGTTTAGTCCTTTTTTTTCATTTAGAGTGTTACTCGAAGACGTTCAATTGACTTTCATTTCACTAAGGCGCAGAGTTCACCTGAAGTGTGACGCGGGTAACATGCAAATGGCGCTCAGCGCAGACAGCAGGTAACATGTGCTTAGTCAAGAGAAAAAAAAATCCCCCAACGTCTAGCATAGGATGGTTGGTTTGATTGGTTGGAGCAATTTACAAAAACCTTTGGAAATCGGGAAAACTGTCCAAGTTTACATTTAAATTGTGATGTGATAATCAATAAAGAAAGTCCTAAGGGGCTTCAGAAGAAAACAAAAATCCAAGGTATAAACTTGATCAAAGAAATCATTCTAATCCGTCTGACATGTGCCGTCACAGTTTCCTACCTCGATCAGTGCCAAATGTCTATCGTTGAGGTAAC